ATATGGTATATGGCAATAGGCTCACCCCCTATTACATGGGACTCATAACACAAATAGTTAAAAGGGGGTGTTACATTGAACAGTGGTGTGCCGTAATGTGCGCTTCTACCTATTCTTTCGGGGATAAAAGGCGTGATGATTATCTAACATTCACTTTCAGATTTTCTCCATTTAAATCCTTTTATGCTACTGAAAATTATTGTCAAGCCTTTCTCTATCCATATGCACTCAGGCAATTCATCCATTCAATAGGTATATATGTACCTAAATAGATAACTCTTATTAAACAGTGCACAAATAACAATCAACCTAAACCGTCATAATTTTACGGTCGACTATACAAAACCTGAGAGTCCATTACTCCTGTAACTAGCCTGTTCTCCATCATCTATATCAGAGTAACAGATGACCACAAAAAGCTTAACATTAATCCCGTGGAAAACGGAATAAGGCAGGGATGGCGAACCTTTGTGTATCAAAGTGACGTTTTTTTCGATTCCCGATTCAAAAGGTCTATGGTTCGATTCCCGGGTCGAGTAAAGTTTACTGAGTTTAAAAAAAATCTCAGCAGTAGCATGGAGTTTGGATATGCGCCCGTTATATGACAATAGACTCTATTAAATATATTCTATTAAATATATGAGACTCATAACATAAATAATAGAAAAAAGTGGGTGTTACATTGTACATTAAGTACCGTAATGTACACCTCTGCCTTCGGCTGGCCTTGTTATGCTTTAAAGTAGGTTTATTTGCTATATTATCAAATCACGAGTGTGTTGTCATGTCATCGTTTCTCACTTCAAGAGTTGCTCCGAGTGGGAATGGAACCTTCGACACACTGCTTAAGCCGGTTGCGCAACCACAGCTCCAATCGTGCAGTCAATAAATTAGAATTCAGATTTGTGACGTGCTCAAAATATTGTGTTCAGTACCAATGGTTGGGCATCCCTGGAATAAGGCGGACTGCAGACTCTCCTCGAGGATTGACTGTGACAAATATACGTGTGAATCCAGCCTGCTATGTTACACTATTCGCGGTTTGTGAGTTTCTTGTCCAGTGTTGGGCTATGAGATGACGATTGAAGGCTGTTTTCCTGTTGGCAAACGTAGACACTAACTGTTGTCAAAAGGTACACTATCTATTGTTAATGATTGCTTACCCATTCGATATAGAGAAGTGAAAACCTACATATTTTTATGAGGACATTTTTTTGGGGCTTTTCTAAAAATACACTTAGATCTTTAGAAACCAATAAATGTATTTTTATATATTATTTATGTATTTTTTTTATATTGCAAGTATATTATATCTATTGTAAGTTGTATTGTAGGTAGGTATTTTTATTTTCTTTTTTTATTGTAAATTTAACTGTAAACTATTTATATGTGGTTTCTTATGAATATTTCGATCCAAAGTTTGTCTGGAAGAAATCACCATTGCGTGATAAGACCGCACATTGTAGGTACGCATATTTACTTGCTTGTTTGTTTTTTGAGTTACTTAAATGCCTACAATAAAGCTTAAATAAATAAACAAATGTATGAAAATGATGAATCTAAAACCTGGTATAACTTCTGCC